ATTCCCAGTTGTAACTGAGTTATGGTCTGGCAAAGCGTCATAGACAAATCATTTCCAGAGGGGCGTCACCAACGGCCGTGGCGGATAGACCTAAACCCAATCAGAGCGATGAAGGAGATGACGTATGCAGAGCGGCGGAGACACATCTCCGAGTGTTGTTCTTTGCCCGGTTTTTAACTCAAAGGAAACGTTCAAATGGCTTAAAACAGACGCGATAGCTGATTGGAACGAGTGATGTTCGACGGCGGCATCCATCTTTGTAATGTAGGCTACAAAATCTGCTTCAAAATCCCAGCGCTGTCGTCATCGTGTAAAGCCCGCCCCGACGCTTCTGATTGGTGCCGCGATTTCGGCGGATTGGAAATGGGCTTGAATGAGCTCTTTGCCAGACTAACTTTCAGAGCCAATCTAAATTTGCCGGAAGTTTTCTGGGTTTTGCCAGGCTAGGAACTCTTACAAATGCATATTAAATAATGTCTATGCCTTTTCAGTTCTAATTTTTCATTGCGTGTCTTTAGTAAATCCTGACAGTAGTTTTTTAAAGATTTACGAAAGAATCTTCTATGTGGACCGTGCTTTATACATCACTATGCTATTGATAGAAACCTTGTTGACCCCAAAATTTCCCAGAAATTTGGTTAATGTCACTGCACCTTTAGTTGCAAACTGGATGTGCTGAATTTGTTCAGGAATCAGACTACATTGGTCGTGCTATGCCTATGATTTACTAAAAAGAACAAGCTCATAAGAGTCATTCGTCAATTAACCTGCACTGGACTTGCTTTATGTTTCACACTGTAGATTAAGTTTATCCAGCTGAATACAGTAAGTAGAGCAGGAAACTCTGTCAGAGGATTTGAAGATGGTTTTCCTTACTCTTAACAGAGAAATTCACTTCCTAACCCTTCTCTGTTCCCTCTATCGCAAGTCAACAGGATTTGTTGCCGGTCGCTTTCTAAAAGGGTATTTTCTGAGAATATACGGCTACAATAAAGAAAGATGCTTTTTGTCCCATATTGGTCTAGTTACAGCATCTACAGCCAAACCTTGACCTTTTGATTTAAACGATCGAGAGGAGAGCAGACAGAGGCGCATTTATTCTTCCTTTTAATCAAGTCTTTCCACACCAGTCAGGCCACTGCGGCCGGTTTGCTGGAGCGCGCTGATCTTGTTTGCTCAGTAGGGTTAGAGTAGGGGGCGGTGTGTGTGTGGAGGAGGGTGTGTGTGTTCTCTGCGGGAGGTGTGTTCTCTCTTCTTATCCCAGACAGATAGGAGCAGGAGCAGGGGGTCTACACACATTCAGAGCCGTGTCTCCGCTGTCAGCGCTCAGACGGCTGTAATTTCCACCTGCCGATCTTCTGCCACATATGTACACTACACATAGGAAACCGAAACAAATGATTTGCAGCTCAGATGCGGCCGTATGTGAATTCTTAAACCTGTTTCTCCACACTCTGACTACTAAAATAAAGATTTTAAGCAGTGTCTGGGTAATGTTGGCTCTTAAGAGGCATGCATCCATTTTGAGAAGCTCAAGGAAGAATTTTACACGCTGTATTTAAAGCCCTCGGCTGGTGGAAGAGAAGAGCTGTCTTGTTAAGTGATCATCCATTAAGCTCCTATAAGGTAATTTCTCTTAATATTTAACCATATGTTAGAAGCGGACATGCCGTATATTGGAAGACAGCGTGCACTCTGTGAGAACGGCCCAGTGTGAACATCCGTGCATTTGCCTTTGCTTTAAACAGATTACAATGGAGTTTGGGTCGAGGGAAGACGTGCAGGCACATTATACAGGCCCTCTGGGAACATGCTACTTGCGAATCCTTAATTCAAGGATGTAAGCTTTTGTTCTTTCGCCTGACGTTAACATGAGCAGGCTTTAATGAATCTCTCATGAAGTCATTTTAACGTCAGTGGCGAGGACAAATGAGGTCTGTGTAGAGCTTCGCTCACGTCAGTAGTTTCAGAGTTATTGAAGCTATTGAAGAGGATGTATAATGGATAACAAGAAATTCCTTGCTTTTTAAGAGGATGATGATGTACAATGATGTGGATTGTTTACCAAAAAAGGTTTATTTAGTATTCAGTAATTTGGCCTGCCCTCGTGAACGTCATTGTAAATTACATTTTGGTACCGCGGGAAGAGTAAAGCCAATCATAATAGAGTTCATTAATTTTTTATAATTTAAAGATACAGTAACACAAAGTAATGATCAGAGAGAGGGCAGAAAATGGGCATTTAAAACGTAATGATGTTGTTTTTGGTGCAAGAAACCTTGACTAATAGTATAAGTGCATTTACAGTGCTGACAGTGTACAATATGGCCTCTTGTTTGCTAAAGTTTTGTTACTCTACCTAAAAATGAAAATTCTCTCGTCATTTTCTCATCATGTGAAGATTATAGACAAATAATTCAGAATATTGATGTTCCTAAAAGCACATAAAGCCATCATGATTGTAATCCATACAACCCCAGTGGATGAATCAATGTCTTCTCAAGCAAAACGATAGGGGTGTGTGTGTGTGTGTGTGTGTGGTAAAAATGAGTTTTAAAATATTATTATTTTTAACACACACCTACCGTTCTGCTTCAAAATGCATTGATTCCTCCACTGGGGTTGTACTGTGTGGATTACCGTCATGATGACTGTAGTTTTTTGCATATAGTGTGGGCTTCCACTCACTGCCATTATATGGACTCAAAGAAATGGATTATTTTTCTAAGAATCTTTGTTTGTGTTTATCTGAAAAAGGAAATATGTATACACCTGAGATGTTAAATGATAAGAAAGTACCCCATTAAACATAAAACAGCGTTCATAATAATGGCGTTGATTTTATCCATCAGAAATTGTGGCTTAAAAGTAGCCCAAAATATCCACATTTCCTTCCTCTTGCACTGGCTCTACACAGTCTCCCAGTGTGAGGCAGCTGATGTAACCTCGTGACGGACGTTTGGGCGCGGGACTGCGTGTGGCGGAGAGAGTCCATGGCGTGCTGGGTTCAGACACGGATGTGTGACTGGAGTGTTTGCCCTGTGGCTGTGTGTGTGTGTGACAGAAAAGCGCTCTGTGGCATCCATTACCATGCCACTGAGGCACAGCAAAAGCTTCTCTCTCTCTCTCTAGCTCTACATTCCCAGTCCAACCTTCAGGGGATTACCATTCATTCAACCTTAACTTCAATATACACACAACACAAGGCATGTTAGCCTTCCCATTTACACACTAGCCACCCAGCTGCATATAGATGAGCGCATGCTTCTGTTTATTTTGCTCTCTCTCTCTCGGTGAGTGATAATGAGACGGCTATCAGATGGCGGTATCTCTAAACCCTGCTGTGATTGGTAGTGGCGTTGTGCGTTGTGAGTTCATGTTTGTCCCCTCGCGCCACACCAGTCGTCAAGTACTGTTCGCTCAACCAAGAATCACTTCTCTGGGGTGCATAAATCAAAACATTGAAATGAGGTCTATGTTTTTCTACAGAAAGCATTACAAGTCCATTAATTCAGGGATGTTTAGAAGTCTCCATTTACCTGGCCGTCGCCACTCTGATTGTCAATACAGAATCACACAAACAACCCAACGACGGGACAGACAGTGTCAACACTGCATTTTTAAGGGTTGGACTGTTCGGGCTGTGCTATTATCAAATGCCATTTGCATGCTAAGCTCCTCTGAGCAGGTTTCCCAATGTTGGTTTTGGAAAATGGGTCAGTGGGCTGGCAAGATACTTTATTCTTTGTGCATCATCCTCGCTTCGCATCAAACCAATCAGCGTTCTGCATCTGTTTATCTTGATTTCAGGCACAATGTTTGAGCATTTGAAAATCAGAACAAGAAACACTCAAGTTGAAAGCCGTTTTGGTTTTATCATGTCGCCAGGCCAGCCATATGTTGGGCAGGCATTGTTGGATGGAACTGATAAGCGTTTCAATCAGAGGAGGATTATGGGTAGAAATCTGCAGATTGTGTCCTCTCGAGGATTGAGTGGCTTTAAAACGCTAAACGCACAACTCATCCACAGCTTGAATGTTTAGTCTGGCCCATGTCCTCTCTTGGAATAACAACAGACACAACAAGTGGAGGAAAACCATTCCGGGACAAATAAGAGATTAATCTCAAAGTTGCAGCTGCTCCATTTCGCTGTTAAAATAAATAAATGAATAAAAAAGTTTTATACTTTCTAAAGAAAATGTGTAGTTAAGGCTGATTATTGGATTCTATTCAATTCCAAGTCATTTAAATCTCAATTACTAAAAGATTTGGTAATCGAACTATTAACTCTTTCCCCGCCAGTTTATTTGAAAAAAAGTTGTCATCAGTGCCAGCATTTTTGATCATTTTCACAAAAGTTTCATGGCCCCCAGAATATTTTGTTGTATAAATATATCTGAACATGAAATATATCAAAAGAAATAAAAGAAACTCTGCTTTTAAAATTTTGTTTTATTCTAGCTTCATGAACTCTTTTTTTTATCAACATTTGAAAGTGGGCAAGTTTCATTAAAAAAAAAAAAAAAAAAAAAAACAAACATTTTGAGCGAAAAGCTGAAAAAATCACGTTTTTGTCAAAGACTACATCCAGATCAGATTCAGAACGATGATCAAAACACAGATGAGTAGATTGAGTCCATCAACACCCCAACGCTTCAGTCCTAAAGCTCGTCCTGGGTCGACGTTTCATTCGGTAGCGATGTATGCTGTTTAATGTTGATGATCACGTTATTTTACATATGCTATCGCTAGTTTCTGCTTCTTCTTCGCCTGTGTTTTAATCAGGAGATTCAGTCCTCTTTCAGTAGATGTGTACAACAGTGAAAACACAGAAAGCCGGAAAATTCCCTCAATGGCGGGGAAAGAGTTAAGAAGAATCAGAATCCTGTATAAAATCCTTACAATATAAGCACTAATAATGCCGCCTTTATACAACCACTACTAACCAACAACCACTGAAATCTTTGTTCTTAACATGTTCTTTGTTGTTGTTGTTCCAGAGAAAGAGACGTTTCTAGAGCCCTTCGTGCTCCGAGACCTGTTGCCGTCTTCAATCGGGAGCTACTACCGTTACATCGGCTCTCTGACCACCCCACCCTGCAGTAAAGTGGTGGAGTGGATCATCTTCAGTCGGCCTGTGTTCCTCTCCTACAAACAGGTGAGTCTCTCTGACACACATATGTAGGGGTTTTGAAGTTATTCATGCTAGTCGATAGCCTGGGAAAACCCAGACAACTTCCGGCAAATTTAGATTTGCTCTGAAAGTTAGTCTGGCAAAGAGCTCATTCAAGCCCATTTCCAATCCGCCGAAATCGCGGCACCAATCAGAAGCGTTGGGGCGGGCTTTACACGATGACGACAGCGCTGGGATTTTGAAGCAGATTTTGTAGCCTACATTACAAAGATGGATGCCGCCGTCGAACATCACTCGTCCAATCAGCTATCGCGTCTGTTTTAAGCCATTTGAACGTTTCCTTTTAGTTAAAAACCCAGCAAAGAACAACACTCGGAGATGTGTCTCCGCCGCTCTGCATACGTCATCTCCTTCATCGCTCTGATTGGGTTTAGGTCTATCCGCCACGGCCGTTGGTGACGCCCCTCTGGAAATGATTTGTCTATGACGCTTTGCCAGACCATAACTCAGTTACAACTGAGAATGCTCTGGTTTTAACCAGGCTAGCTAGTCGAGGGTTTAAAAAAAACATTTCTTTTAAGACATATGCCCAATTATACCAAACAAGATTGGGAACTTATTATGTCAAAATTCCCATTAAACAGAGCGGCTGACCCAGTTTAGAAGTCTGAGGAATTAAAACCGTCACAGATTTATTAGACAGAGTTCACGAAAAACACCTGGGTTTTGGGACAAGAGCTAAACAGTATGATAAATAATAGAATACACTATTGTGTATAATACCCATTATTGTACGAATGGACCTTAAAAGACCTCAGCCTTTCACCACACTGACTCATGCCTCTCCATTTGTATGCAACGCTTGCGCACATCCATCCTGTTCTCCCTCTCGGCAATGCTCCTGAGCTCTGATTGATAAGAAATGCTTTTACACTGTGATAGAACAAAACCAGCTGCCAAAAATGGGGCATCTTCGTGCTAACAGGCTGCATGAAGAGCGATGTGAAGGTCAGATGAGTTTACTCCAAAGTGCAGAGGAAAGAAGCTTGGTTCTAGAGCAGAAATCATCAGTCTCACAATCACCACTTTTAGACTCAGACACCAAACAAAGAGAGACGTGATGAGTGGGGACTAATGTTTATAATGTACAGGCAGGGAACACAGGCGCTGTTCTCCGTCAGAAACCGATCCATCTCTGGCCTCTCAGTGGCTTCTGATCTCACCGCGTGAGGGTTTGCTCTCACACATAAAACATCAAAAGACATCTGTACAAAACTCATCCGGCCGGCCATGTAAGATTCCATGTTATTGCGAAGTCGTTTCAGGATTTCTAACGGTATGGTGTAAGGCTGTGACGATAAAATCAATATTTTAAAAAGAAATAGACAGGCAGAGAACACATTTAATTTCACACTCTAAAACGAGACGCGATGGACGGAAGCACCAACTCTCGGTTGCACAATTGGTAAATGGTTTTATGAATTATTTACAGATATTTTTGTTCTGCTCGTGTAACTTGAATAGGGCTTGATATGCCATTCTGTTGTGTACCTGATAATACATTGTGTAATACTGAAAATACATACATTTTTCCACTTGAAATTCGTGGAAACTTGGAGAGGAAGACACATAAAACGCATGACCAAAACCTAACCACAATTCTAAAAAAACATACAGTATAAAAGGTGTACGTGTTCGTACAATCCAAGACATACAATAACGGAATATTCTAGTTTTCATGAGAGTTCGTTGGTCACAATGGTTGACTGAAGGTGATGATACACAGGGCAACTTTTTGGACAATATTGCAATGTTGCCGTCAACCGGCAACTATATGAGACACAGGGCCCACGACCGATCTAAATTATCCAGATAGAAATGTATTGCCCATTTTCAATGGGAAAGTGCCCAAGCAACAATCGCTCGGCAAGATTGCCCAGCAACATTGCTCAAAAAGTTGCCTTGTGTATCATCACCTTAATGGACAAATTGTTAGTGATATTGACGATTTTGTTTATTATTGGTATTACTATTGTTGATTTTTTTTTACTGGCGGCACTTTAGTTCGCGTTCTGATAGCATCTTCTGCTTTAGCTAAAGTTTGCACAGCAAAAGCCCTCTGGGAAACGTTGGGTTTCCAATGTTTCACCTTTAAAGCCCGCGCCACTATAGTCACACACATTCAGACCAATGGCCATGACAATGTCTTGTGCTGTTTTTAAGTGTGCCCCCATGATGGGTTTCTTGGTGGTAATTATAACAAATGAGTGTTTTTCTCATTGTTTGGACAATGGACAAACGTCTTAAAGTTTAAACCATTTATGATGCATCATAAAGGCATTTGCATGACTTTACATATAGCCAAATAATCACTGTACAATCTGCCCAGATTTTGTCAGATGTGTGAGTCACTATCAGTATCCAAATGTTGTGAGCCCGTCAGGAAGTGATGCGTGTACGGGTCACAGCTCACCGAGCGTTTAACAGGAAGACACAGTCCCTTCCTTAGAGCTGTAGACACGGCCCGGAGAAGCTTTCTGCTCTCATTTGACACCTCTTAAAGTTCTTTTGTTCCCTTTCGTCTCTGGGTGATTTTGTTTAAAAGGAAACACTGCTGAGGCAGATATAAGTGAGTCTATGGAGGAAGACAGTTGTCCTTCACTCCCCATTTTTCTTGCTCCTTTGTTCTTCATCAAAGCTGGAAGTAGGTCACCGAGACTGACAGACTGAGCTCGGGGGCGCTTCAAGACCCGATCGATGCTCAGCCAGTCTACTGCATTTGCAACATCTGGAGCATAGGTGGACACACACACACACACACACACACACACACGTCTTGCCATTTGCCCCTAGAATGCCCTGTTGCTGTGGTTGGCCATAAGAGATTACTCAACCATCAGACTCCAACATGTCTTTTGAGCAGAGTTGTGTGACCCAGAATGGCCCTGTTGCTGTGATTTCCCACCAGGGATTACTTAACCTTCATACCCATGATGCACAGTCATTTCATAAACACACACACACACACACAAACACATCTGTCCCGGATTACTACAGCGCTAAGAATTGTACACAATGAGAGACGTGCTTTTGTAGCCGATGCCCAATCCCAGTAAGCTGTTTAGAAGCAAGGTTTTGGCGTACGAGGGATTAATAGATGAGGATTGTGATCGGGAGATTATCCGAGAGCACCATATTGATGCAGCGGGTTTCGGTGTGACCCTAAAGCACAGGAAATGATGTCACAGATCAGATGTGGTGGAATACCGGAGAGGTACAGCATTTCAGATTTGAAACGCTCGTGAGGGTTTTCATATTCAGATGTGTTTACTCGTTTGAAGTCTCATTTGGATTCTGAAACAGATAATGAAACAGACACAGATGTTCAGGCTGTTTTTGTGTCACACATTTTCTTTTTTTGTGTGCTTTTTCACGTTTACCTAGCTATACGTGACGACACCTTAAACTTCTGTTGTTTTTATATAAAGCTAATTAGAATTGCAACTAGGAGTATGAATCAATTAAAAAATATAATCAAATGAATTACATGATATGCTTATTAATTTAGCTGATTTATTGGAATATTACTATTCTAAATATAAAATGTCCATATAAAAAATATAATTAATTATATACTTAGTCTTTATTATATTATTATGATATTTTATTGTTAAATATCAAATGTGTTAAATGTTAACCGATCAAAAGTTTAGGTCGATACGATTTTTTACATTTTAGGTTGCAGTTGTTTGATCAAAAATAAAGTAAAAACTGTACTATTGTGAAATATTATTACAATTTAAAATAACTGTTTTCTATTTTAATATATTGTTAATGTTATTATTCCTTTGATGGCAAAGTTGAATTTGACTCCAGCCTTTAGTGTCACATGACCCTTCAGAAATCACTCTAATATGCTGATTTGTTGCTCACGAAATGTATTATTATTATTATTATCAATGTGTACCTCATTTTTTTCAGTGTTGTTGTTTTTCAGTATTAATTTATTTAAAAAAAATCTTTTTAAACAGTAGTGTAATTTACATATATAATAATGACTGTTTATCTTTTTTATATATATAATTAATCAGTCATTACATCAACAACTAATGCAGTTACAAAAACCAAACGGTCTAAAACAAACTTTTGGATATTTCAAAGATCCCATGATGAGTTGTCCGTCTGACACAGAGCTGATCAGTCTGTTCTTCACACACGCGCTGGACAGGCCGCAGTCATGGTCATCCTTTATGAGAAATGTAGCGATGGTGCATTTACAGCACATTTCATTATCAGCAAGAACTGCAGCCATCTTATGAATTTGACACATAACTAGCCTGGTTAAAACCAGAGCATTCCCAGTTGTAACTGAGTTATGGTCTAGCAAAGCGTCATAGACAAATCATTTCCAGAGGGGCGTCACCAACGGACGTCGCGGATAGACCTAAACCCAATCAGAGCGATGAAGGAGATGACGTATGCAGAGCGGCGGAGACACATCTCCGAGTGTTGTTCTTTGCTCGGTTTTTAACTAAAAGGAAACGTTCAAATGGCTTAAAACAGACGCGATAGCTGATTGGAACGAGTGATGTTCGACGGCGGCATCCATCTTTGTAATGTAGGCTACAAAATCTGCTTCAAAATCCCAGCGCTGTCGTCATCGTGTAAAGCCCGCCCCAACGCTTCTGATTGGTGCCTCGATTTCGACGGATTGGAAATGGGCTTGAATGAGCTCTTTGCCAGACTAACTTTCAGAGCCAATCTAAATTTGCCGGAAGTTGTCTGGGTTTTCCCAGGCTAACACGTAACATGTTCAACCTAACCCTTGACTGTGTTATTTTGATTAAGGTACAATTCCAGACAGATGGAACAGTGTAATAAGAAGTGAAAAAATGCTGAAGATAATAAATAAAAAAAATTGAAATAAAATAAATCGACCTTTTCGAAACACTAAAACAACCCTGATCCAAACCTTAGTTTTATTAGAACCTAAGAACCTTTTCTCAAAAGAAAGAAAGATGGATGGATTGATCAATTAAATGAATGAACCATTTTAACCTTTGAGGATATTTTCTAATGGAGGTTTAACATTTTTATCTTTCTGTCCACTGTTTCTCAAACTCACACATGACAGCGACATCAGCCGCCGGTGAGCGTTAGCTCGGCTAGTTTTCAAAGTGATTGATATTCAAAAAGTAAGGATGGGAGCGCTGCTTTGTGTACGGTTTGTATATCTGCAGTTAGTCTCAGTTCCTCTTTTTAAAAGAGGAACATAGACTATTGATACCCGCTGATATAGACAGACACAGGCGCAGAACACACATGCTAGTCAACAGCCGCCTTTCGTCCTTCTGGTGTGTTCAAGCGCCGCTGTTTAGTCGAGACGCAGCCGACGAGAGGCAACAACACAGCCGGTTTCATCTTTGACGTCAGCTTGGTTCTTTATACTAGCGTGTTTTAGTTTAAAGTGAACCATCAAATGACTTCAGATTCCACAGGATTTAATATAATGTTAAAAGGACGATGTGCAGTTTCGGCTGTCTGAAGTTCAGTGTTAAGAAATCAAGAGGTTAGTGAGGCATGGCTGAGGCAGAAACAAGACAGACAGTCGGTCATGTTTTCGGTCTTTGATCAGACTGTGAGCTAAAATAACATTCCTCCGAGTCACTAGTTTTGAAGGAGGGAAAAGAGACTCCGGGCATCTTGGGAGATGACTTACTTAAAAAATAAGAGACATATGAAAACATACTGAATTCTCTCTCTCTCTCTCTCTCTCTCTCTCTCTCTCTCTCAGCTGGAGGCGTTCTACTCCATCTTCACCACAGAACAGCAGGACCATGTTAAATCCGTGGAATACCTGCGAAACAACTTCCGCCCACTCCAGAGTCTGGACAACCGAGAGGTCTTCAAATCCGCAGTCAAAGATGCTTGGCTGCCTGACTTGACTGACAGCCTGGGGAACCCGTACGGCACCGAGGCGTCCAAAGGTGGGCAGGCTCTCCTGACTCTGTTTATATATCACAGATACCGTATTCATAAGCTTTGGACTCTTTTTAGCTACAAGTTTAGATTCAAATAGATTCAGATTTTCCTCATTAGTGCCTGCTCATAATGCGTGGCATAACACGAGAGCGAACGCGTGCGCGTCAGTGTGTGTGAGTGCGTGTGTGTAATGAGAGTGAGTAGGAGGCATATGGTGCCGTCCTCTGCTATTGTGTCATTAGACACTCTGTCTTTACTTGCCTGTTTTTCGCTCATTTCTGCTCCGTGTGGCAGCCGCGCTCGCAGGATTGCACAAGACTGCAGCTTTTCAAGGACACACTGCTCTCTCACCTGTGTGTGTGTGTGTGTGTACACCACAGATCTGCTTCACACACTCCAGAAGACTCCTGCTTTAATCGACAAATGATCGGACCATTACATAAACACACACTTGTTTTTATATCATGGTGGGAACCTTTTTTTTAGCTGTTATTGGTTTTTCATTTTTTATTTTTTATCAAATTCAATTAAAAAAAAATTACAGAAAGTATAAGTAATATATATAATATGAGGTTGTTATACTATTTAATTATAGCAGAGATATCTCATTCAAAAGAGATGTTTAAAAAAATAAGTTTGCAGGCTTTGCATGTTAAATTAAATTGTTGAATTAAATTAAATTAATATTTTTGTACATATATTAATATGAAGTTGTTGTACTGTTGTAGATTATATTTGTATAAGCTAAATTTTTCTTCATGTAATAAAAATGTAATGTACACAGTATAAAGCAGTGTATATTAGCCTATATAATTGCATTATATATACATAACTCAATAATTAAAATAATTATAAAAAATAAAAATATTGCTAAATATTTTAGCGTAAAAACAAATGGAGATCACAAATTATTGAATCCATTGACAGCCCAACTATGTTTATTTGTTGCATAAGTTATTGATTTGTTTTTACTGGTATTGTGTAAGCCTAAATTTCTATATTCCACTCTGCGTTGACAAAAACACCGGCGGCCCGTGTATAAACTCTCCGTAGATTTCATCCTAAAGGTGTGTGTACGCACAAAAGCTAAAAAACACCAGAACCGGCACAAAATTCCCTTTTAAAAAATTCTGTTTATACATCAGGCCCCAGGACTTTTTCCTGGTGTGAACTTCAATGTTACCCCTTTCTGTCACCATTTACTATGTACACTTCCAGCCTTTTTGCTACCTAGCAACCTTGTAAAGTCACTTTTCATGTGGAGATCACAGCGGCACTTGACGCTTGTGTTGAGAAGAGCATTGAAGTCTTGATGTGGGTCATGTGACAGGGATCCTAATAAGCATCTTACTGCCATTTCTACATCCCTTTATGAAGCTTTCCTCAAGGGAACATTTGATCCACACATGGATTGGCAAATAGTATTAAGCACACACACACACACACATCCCTACTACCTCTCAATACAAACAAAGATTGTTTACCCCATATTTACAAAACATCCATCCTACACACTCTTTTTCTGTGCGTTACCGAGCCGAATATCTTGAGGGCTTTAACAGATATTGATTGGCACTGGCATTACACCGCGGGAGCTCCTCTCATTTACAGTTCTCTCACATGTTGCCTGGTGATCCATGGTCCAAGCACAATCCCTCATTCCCAACGGATCACAGTGCACAGATTACAGGTCAGAAAGACCACACCATCCTCATCACCTTGGTCAGGGTAAAGAGACGACATCTACACGTGACCAGACAGTGTTCCTTAAACCCGGGACACACCAAGCTGACGTCAAAGATGAAACCGGCTGTGTTGTTGCCTCTCGTCGGCTGCGTCTCGACTAAACAGCGGCGCTTGAACACACCAGAAGGACGAAAGGCGGCTGTTGACTAGCATGTGTGTTCTGCGCCTGTGTCTGTCTATATCAGCGGGTATCAATAGTCTATGTTCCTCTTTTTAAAGGGATACTCCACTTTTTTTGGAAATAGGCTCATTTTACAACTCCCCCAGAGTTAAACTGTTGAGTTTTACCGTTTTTGAATCCATTCAGCCGATCTCCGGTTCTGGCGGTACCACTTTTTGCGTAATAATCTGAGAGCAGCAGGCGTAATGATATGACGCAGCGCCTGAAAATAGGCCACCTTCCGTCAACACAACGGAACTATTTTCAGGCGCTGCGTCATATCATTACGCCTGCTGCTCTCATGGTACGGCAGTGAAGTTTCTTGATTATTACGCAGGAATGAGAGTATAGTTCCTAGCCATATCAGCCTAGAAAATCGCAACTTTACATTTTCCGTCGGTCTTAGTGCACGATGTAACTACAGAAGAGTCAAGTTTTAAATAGGAAAAATATCGAAACACTTTGGTCATTTTTTTATGAGAAATGCTAATGGCCTTGTCCACTTCAATGATGTATGCTAAGCTATGCTAAAAGTGGTACCGCCAGAACCGGAGATCGGCTGAATGGATTCAAAAACGGTAAAACTCAACAGTTTAACTCTGGGGGAGTTGTAAAATGAGCCTATTTCCAAAAAAAGTGGAGTATCCCTTTAAAAAGAGGAACTGAGACTAACTGCAGATATACAAACCGAACACAAAGCAGCGCTTGATTACCATTTTGAAAATCAATCACTCTGATCAGTTTCTTCCTTCCAGTCGGCTCATGTTATTATGAAATTATTTGTGCATTCGAAAGTGACGTAAAATTATAACAGACTTCTGTCGACTTCTTTGCTTGCTTTCGTCACTTTCGCTTTTATTCCCATGCACTGACTCGACAGCCAATCAGAGTTCTCCGTCTCGGCCCAGCGCTGATTCAACATGCTTAATTGGCCCGAAAAACCCAGACAGCGACAGCGTACGACTGGAGCCGACGGCGCGGAAACGGTCGACCGTCGGCTTGGTGTGTCCCGGCCTCAAGAGGAGATAAACATGGAGACAAATACTACATTTGTCCTTTCCTATAAAGCTGTAATATTGTGAAAAATGTGTGAAAATATCACATAATATTGCTAGCTATATAATTAGCCTTAGCAAGGACTTATTCTACAATGTCATTTCTTTTTGTTATGGAAGTTAAATTTTAAACATTTGTGTTGGAATAAAATGGCTGTCTATTTTTTTTTTTATAGATAGCATTTTAAATTGATCCAGGGAAGGAGATTAAAATGCCATAGTTCTTCTGTGATGTGTGTATATCACTGTTGGACTTTGTTAATAGACAAACTAAATGTCGACAAGCCCAGAAGAAACGCAGAGAGCTGACCACCCACTCTCTCCGTTAAACTCTCTCTGTCCCGCCAGCCTGTTGTCCAAATAGCTCCAGGTGATCTGGATTGCCAGAATTGCACCGAAACTCCTAAACAGCTTCCCAGATTCCAGAGCCTTCTGAATCAGAAATATAATTAATTTGGGTGCTTGGTAATCACTCTGTAAAACGAAGAGAGAAACGCTCCTCTTATCGCTCCCTGGTTATGCGTTTAATTTCAGCTCCGTGAAAAATTGATTGTGACACCGTCCGCTGTTGTCGAAGAATAAAAAGGGAACAGAAAGGAGGGAATAAGGGAAAAAAGAATGAAAGGGTGGAGTAATAGTGTGATAGAGGCTGAGAACAGAAGCATATCAATGGTGCCTGCAGGCTGGAGCTGAACTTTTTGTCAGCTTCGATTAATTCAGAACACGTGCTGGATCATAGCTTTCCCTCGCATAGGCGAACAGCACACGGGTTATATCAGCCGTCCAACATATCCAAGCCCCACATGTGGAGGAACTGCGTCAAGCCAATCTTTTTCTTTCTTTGTTAAACATTCAATATTTCAAACTAAAGTGCATGTAGTCTGGTGTGGCTAACGCTTCGTTCTTTAGCCTGTAGCATCCATGGAACTTTTCCATTCCTCAAACGGTTCTTTATAGTGGGAAATGTTTCTTTAGATTATTAAAATGTTCTTTGGGGAACCACACTTTTTTTTTTTCTATGGCATTACTGCAACAAAAAAAAAACTTTATTTTTAGGAATAGTACACAAAAATCCTGTTTTTATTTTTCACTCTAATGTTTTCCAAACCTTTTTATCCAGCCAATGGTATAGCATTTTCTTTTCCAGATGGACTGTTCCTTTAAACTGGTCTTATGTGTCCGCTTGTTCGAAAGAGCCGCTCAAGGTTAACCGCGTGTTTGCACTTTCTCTCTCTCTAATTTGACTTCTGCTCTCACCTTCTCTCCTTTCCTCCTATATCCCTCCATTAATCTCGCTCTCCATGGTCAACAAGCCGGAGGGCCAAAGATGGCCTTTTTATTAAACGCTTCTCTGTGCATCTCTTCAGAGACCTGCACTCTTGCGCAGTAACCTCTGCGACTGTGTTCCTGAGCGGTTATATACTGTAGTGTTGCACAGACACATGGATGGAGAAAATCACACTTTGCCTGTGATGATTTATAAAATGTACCAAAATATTTAACAGGAATCATGCAAAGAGAATGTGTAAAACCCTGAGAATGACACGCATTCTAGTTTGTACATTCTACTCTGTTTGAAAACAAGATTTACATGTCAATGCTAGCGGTGTAACAATGCCCTCATGTCACGATTCCATACATATATACTGAACTCACGATACCATATTACTGCGATACTCCAAGACAAGGTTAACAAAAAATGAACTGTTGATTAAAATATTAAATCATTGGGGGTGGAAATGAAGAGGTTTGGATTTGAAGCTGGTAACCCAAAGCACAATAGTGACATCAGAATAACAATATTCATGATTCTGAAGCTGAAAACAGAATTATTTTAGATGAATATTTGCACTCTGTCACTGACTAGATATATTTAAAATAATGTAGGCCACTTTTTACTGGTAAAATAAGACATTTGGCATTATCAGGACACACAAATATTCCCCCATTATACATTATGGTAGTTTAATGTAGTACTGACAATAAAACTCTGTAAACCGTAACACTTTACTTGAAGGGGTGTGCATAAGACTGACATGACACCTTCATAACCATGACATGACATATGTCATGAATATGAAGTAGGGTTTATGCATGTTTATGACAACTATCATTAAGTGTCTTTCGCTCAATAATGACATTTTGAATGCAAATATGACATTGTTTAAGATGTCTTTGTTATGACACCTTGACATAAACCATAACATCATAACCTGTCAGTGTCTTTGTCATGACAACTTGACATTAACTTAAGTTAAACTGTCATGTGGTTGGTTTTGACACTGGCTGTCATAAGGCCATTATAACTGTGTCATGAATATTTTTCGTGACCTCGACTACAGTGGTACAAATTGAATTTGTCATTAAACAGTTATAATGGCTTCATGACAGCCAATGTCAACACCAACCACCTGACAGTTTAATGTAATGTTAACTAATAAAGCTAAGTGGTTTCTTAAGTTTGATAATTAATCTGCTATGTCATGTTTATGACAGGTTGTGTTGTCTTAGTAATGTCAAGTTTTCATGACAAAGAAACTGACAGGTTATGATGTATTGGTTTATGTCAAGGTGTCATAACAAAGACATCTCAAACAATGTCAGATTTGCATTAAAAATGTCATAATTGAGCGAATGACACTTAATGACAGTTGTTATAAACATGCATAAACCCTACTTCATATTCATAACATGTGTCATGTCATGGTTATGAAGGTGTCATGTTAGTCTTATGCACACCCCTTCAAGTAAAGTGTTACCCTTTAAGGTTTTCTCGCACAGTAATTTTCATTTTGGGTGAACTATACACAATACATATTGTTGCATTTTTGTTCTGTGATATATTGTGACACGATATGTTGTTACGCACCTAGTCAATACTGCTGGAATTCCTTTCTTCTTTGTTACAATAAAAGCCAATAAAGAAACAAAAAGTGGTGCAGAACTGTGTACCAGAGTATTTCGGCTTTTCTATAAGCAGCATTTTTTATGCATTGGTCGAAACAGACGATTCGTATTTGAGGTGCCTGAGCATTGATGCTGGCGTCTGTGAACGGCTCTCTCATGTTCCTGTTCCTCATTTGAATTCTTGTAATATGCACTATTGTGTTAGTGATTGGAAAGTGCATACGTTCATGTAAGTAATAAAGCACGGCAGGTTTTAGGACATAATACGACAGCAAAATCATCAATTTCACATTGTTTGCGTTTATGGTTACAATTCATTATTGTTTATCTTTTAGGTATATGAATTAAAAGCCGTAAGAGAACATCGTAATAGTTCCACCTGGACACTCTTTTGATCACTATATTTGATGTGCCATGATTTGAGACCCGCTGATTTGAATCGTGAATACCTTTTAGGATGAAAATTGCAAATATGCAAATTGGGATGTTCATGAGCTTTTGAACGTAATTCTTCCATAAACTGCAGGCTGTTGAAATGTCTAAAGTCTTATTTAAAGGACAAGCTTCCATCCTCAAATGTCAAAGTCATGTTTGTGTGCTATAATCATCAGTGCATGCCATCTGTGTGAAAGCCGGTCTTTATGCAGTAGGATTGCGGCTGGAGTCACTATTACTTCTCTCATGATTAGAGCTAATAGAGGCTTCGGAGAGAGGAGTGATGGTAGAATTAGTTTAATTAGCATTGTTTTGGATGTAATGGCTCCCCTGTGGCTGTGGGAGGGAGTGTGTGGAGGTGTGCTCTTGTCTGTGTTGCAAATGTGTGCATGCATTTTAGGAGCACCAAAACTAAAGCAAATGTAGGGCTTCTTCTGTCCGATTTCTCTCTGAATAGAAGCTCACCCCCACGCACGCTGTTAGCCGCCAGAAACTGTGGCACGCTCGTGATTAAACACCTTCTGCTGGGGAGATTAACAGCAACTTGGATGATGCCGGTGTTTACAGAGGGCATGACACAATTCAGGACACGTGAAAGCCAAGTATATGTAGTCAGTAGTCTAACAGAGCCATCTAGTGGCTGTGGGATCTAAGGGCACCAATGGAGCTCAAGGCTAGAATGCTGGCAAAGAGGTAAACACACACGTTTCTTCTCTCGTCTCTCACGCAGCGTGCAGCAGTGCCCCGATCAACATGAACGTCCAGCACATGAACAAGACCGCGCTAGTGGTCCGATGGTCCCGTCCGGAGATCACCTACGATCCGCCCATCATCAGCTACCTCATTTCCTACAGCTGGACCAGGAACGACGAGTCATACGAGGAGACGTATGTCAAAGGGAGCGATCAGAAACTGGTGAGAATGTGTTTTCTGTGTGTAATGGTCATCAGTATCTCACAATTGATAAGTTATTCGCAACGTTATGCTTTAAAGGAAACATGGAGGAGCATTCGCAACACACTTAACTTCCTTACTGTGACATATTTCTGGGTTAAACTGAATATTTATTGGGAAAAAATATTGGTGAGGGGTTCTGTGTGCTTTTTGTGTTTGAATTGGTCATCTACACCACAATATCTCACAATAAACCCAGCAAATGATTAAATAAGCATCTTTAAAGACCACATGCAATGGCATTCCTATCACACTTAACTTTAATGAAATGTTTATATAGTTTAAAAGTGGGGTGTGAAATTTACTGAAACTGAATTTTCAGTGTGAAACATTGTGATGAGGAATTGTTTTTGTTTTTGTTTGTTTGTTTGTTATCTATACCACAATATTTCCCAAAAATAATTAAATATCCCACTTATACTTATAAAAGTGTCACCGGCCCACCGGTGGGCCCAAATCCATTACATTTTTAAAACAGTAATATCCTATACTAAACCTAAACTAATCTTGACAAACTATATATCATTTGAAAGCTTACAATCTCTAGTTTCCATATTTTCAGAGGAGCCGTAACTTATCAATTTGCAACAAGAATATTTTCATACTCCTAAGGCGTGTTTAGACCTTTCTTTTGAAATAGTGATGAACATGAAAAATCATGAAAGAAGGGTAGAAACCTCGGTTTGTTTTCATGCCAAGAGTTCAAAAGATAGCATCCATTCAGTTATTTGAAAAAAAAAAAATCTGAATTTTTTTTAAGTATAAAGAAAAAAATTATAGATTCACCATTTGTGATGTGGCAGCGAGCTATAACGCACATACTTGTTCTTTTTGTGTGTTTCTGAGAGGTTGAATTCATATCAAAATCTGCCAAACTTCTCATATTACTTCTGAATAGGATGTCTACTTCATAAATTGTATGAAAATTGTGGAAATAATGGTTCATATCACTCAAAACACATATGGAAATGGCGGCGCCCTTATATGGGCAGTAATGGAGTCTGGTTGTGCCCTAGTGGAAGCATTCGGTACTGCGCCCACACACACTCTCACTGAAAGCTCATCTTTTGAGATATCAACCTAAAATTTGAAACACGACTTGTTCAGATTTTTGGCTTTGATTTATTTATTTATTTATTTATTTATTTTTTGCAGTTTTAGAGTCGCCCAGGTTTTGAAAAAATATTTATTTTATATAAAATATGAATAATAAATTTTTTTACATTGTACATTTTCATAAACTCAAACTTCAATAACTTTTTTTCTGTTTCACTTTCTTAATTTATTTTACTTCTACAAAAATCTGCCAAATGTCTTCTTTAAAACGAGACCAATCTTACGTCTATATTCCAAAGCATTCTTGAATTACAACCATTTAAGTTCAAAATGTGCATTTTCATGTATATTCAAAAAAGAGGGGTGACAGTAGCATGATATAACAATCACAATGTGCTTTACTTCCATAAAGTGACATATTTCCAATATTGTTGAGGGATTCCGTGTGTTTGTATTGGTCATCTACACCACAACATCTCACAATAAACCCAGCAAAGGATTAAATAAGCATCTCTAAAGACCTCATGAAATGGCATTCGCAACATGCTCAACTTTCATAATGTGACAAATTTCCTAGTTAAACTGAATTTTCAGAAAGAAAAATATATAGGATAGGACTTGATTTGAACCTTCCTAATATTTTTATAAATACTTTTATTCAATTGTAATACATGTTTCTAATGTATTGGTTCATTTTAGGGCTGTCAAACGATTAATCGCATCCAAAATAAAAGTTTGTGTTTACATAATATATGTGTGTGTACTGTGTATAATTATTTTGTATAAATGCACACATGTGTATATATTTAAGAAAAATATGTTATTTATATAAGGAATGTTAATATTTATATAAAATGTACATTATATATAGTCTATATTCAGTATGCAAATATTTCTTAAATACACATGCATGTGTGGGTATTTATGTATTCAAAATAATTATACACCGTACACACACATATATTATGTAAACACAAACTTTTATTTTGGATGCGATTAATCGTTTGACAGCCCTAGTTCATTTTGATTTCTGCTTGTCCTTAAGCAATAACCATTCCAGGTCTCAGATCTGTTCTTGGAGTGTCTGAATGTGGGGATGTTGATATTATGCCTGTAAAGCCGGGGCTCGTGGATAATATCCTGTAATCTGTCCTCCGCCAGAGCGTGTTTGCAGGAGTGTGACTGTGAATAAAGTCTGTATTTTAGGCCGTCAGCAGGGGGGCGCCGCGGTACACGCTGACCTCGAGACCCACCATTTGAAAATACTAATGCACTAAAACTGTTTAAGAGGCGGAGATGTGTTTTAGTCTCATTTCTCTTGACTTTCTATCAAGCACACTCGGTGGGCTGTGAAATGTATAACAGGCTGAGATTTCTGATTCTCTAGTCCGCAGGGGGCTGTGAGGCGACGAGATTTTGGTTCATTTTGTTCTCAAATATTTCAGTGTGCAATTTGAAAATGGCATTACAGAACATCATCATTAGATTCACTCCTTTCCCAAATTCCTCTCTATTTTTCATTGTTCCTCCCTCTTTTCTTTTAAGTTCTTCATTTCCATTTTTATTCCCCCTCTCGTCCCAAGATGCTGCTATCTGGGTCAAATTAGCGGCCGACTCCAGATCAATAGAGAAAGAGTTTTTACTCCTTTCCACTTATAATAATAACCCAACACCACAGTGTAATATTTGAGTCGGGGTCCTTTAAAGAGTGAACTCGCATAAATCAGAAAGGTGTTGGTGCATGTGGAGAGGAACTGACGCCATTTACTTAGTGCAAGATTTACAAATCCCTCAAGCCCTCGGCACTTTCCAGCAGACCCCGGGGAGGTGAAGTGAGTTATGGTAATGGCTATTGCTCATACACTTAGAATTGTATTGAATCTTCATTTCTCCGAGATGAAATGAGGCTGCCTGCGTCAGGATCAAACAGGCCCCAATGAAGGAAATGGAGTTAAAAGGTGGCCGTACCCGCCTGTCGAAGTCCATCTGCTGTCGAGTGTGTGCCTGCTGAAGGCCGGCCTGCACTGACATTTACACGTTCTTTTTGTCAAATATTTTCACTAATGTGTTTCAGCTACCAATAAGAATGAAGTGTTTCTAGCTCCTTTGAACTCATTTTAAAATATTTAAATTCAACTCTTTTCAATTACAGTCTTTATTCATAGTCCCACTTCAAACAGTTGTTCAGATTTTGTCTACTTACAGTTTCAGTCGAGCTGATTTATTATTATTATGTCCTTCTTTTACATAATCTGGGTCTGTAAATTCTGTCGTCATTTACTCGCCCTCAAGTTGTTCCAAACCTGAATGAGTTTCTTTCTCCTGCTGAACACAAAAGAAGATATTTTGAAGAATATGGGTAACCAAACAGTTGATTTTTCCATACTAAGTCAATTGATCCCATCATCTGTTTGATTACCCATATTCTTCAAAATATCGTTCAGCAGGAGAAAGAAATTCACACAGGTTTGGAACAACTTGAGAGTGAGTATTTTATGATTTTTGGCTGAACTATCTCTTTAAAATATTATACTGAAGTGTAATATTTAGGTTGTTTGTTCTGATCCCTAAAGCTGGGTATGAACAATAAGCAAACACATTACTAATTAAATTTTGCGTCCTTTAATTTCATTAAACACTACATTGTATATCGACACTAATCTAAAGTGTTCTGTATGTTAATATGTTCTCAGAAAGATCCTAACAATGTTGCATAATTTATTGATAAAGGCGTGCATTATATAAGCAGCCTTTAAAAATAAATCATTGCCTCTCTTTGTGTCCCAGCTGAGCAGCTCAGAGTGCTTTAGGTGGTAATGAATGTTATGCGAGGCAGAGACTGATAGAGACTGTCTATTTTCAATGCTAATGACTTGAGAAGAAAGGTGTTACCGTCAAGCGAAGAAGAGGAGAACAAGCTGTTCACCTTCGTCCTCCAGACCTCTGTCAGGAGAGGTCACACTTCAAAGTGTGTGTGTGAGTGTGTCGACCACTCTTCTTTTGTGTTTTGACTGTGGACGCGTCAGATGATAACCTCGACTTTTTGGACGTATCCTGGCGTGTTTATGTACTGTATATGTAACATTGTGTGTGTGTGTGTGTGTGTGTGTGTGTGTGTGTGTGTGTGTGTGTGTGTGTGTGTGTTTCAGGAGGTTGTCATCACACCGGTGTCGGCGGATGTGCTGTACCTGTTCCGCGTCCAGGCCGTGTGTTTGAATGACAAGCGCAGTGACTTCAGCCAGAGCATGCTCTTCAGAGGTGCAGAGCTACACACACACACACACACACAAAGACTTTACCAATGATATTCTGATTGTTGTTTTTAAACGTGTTCCGTCTCATTTATATGCATCTACTGTGTTTTGGTAGCCAACACCACCAGGATATTTGAGGGCACGAGAATAGTCAAAACTGGGATGGTGAGTTTGCATCTGTCCAGCAGGGGGCAGAACTCTCTTTACTCTTCGCAATGGCAAATAAAATACATTTTATTTGTATTTCTTGTATAATAATAATAATGTATAATAATTTGAATAATAATATAGACAATATAGAAGTATATTTATACAAAAAATGATATTCAACTATGAATCAGAGTTATGCTTGGAAAGATGACTCAAAAATTGTGAATTATGTGCATCTTTTAGAATTTATTTTATCTTTTATTTGTATTTCTTAAAACAAAATAACATAACTAATATAATGTGTTTTTTACAAATACTAATTTTACAATCATTTAATAATAGTAGAAGGTATAGAAATATATTTATTCAATAATTACATGATTTAAATAAATATATATTTGTTTTCTTCTGTATTATTTATTTTTGAAAATATATATATAGATATGTATAATAGGCTAATCATATGTTTTAAAAACATGAAAATAAATAATAAATGTATATATAATTATAAATTGTAATTTATTTTAGAAAGTATTAAAATGCATATTTATACTACAATTATACATAAATAAATCCAAAGTTATGCCTGAAAAAGAGTATTTTAAACAATGTCCTGAAACCTGTTGGGCTCACCGGACTCGCATGATGTGCACAGATTTCATCTTTTAGAATCAATGCAGAGGTAAATAAAGTGTTTGTCTTCTTCTTCTTCTTCTTCTTCCTCTTCTAGCCAACTGTCTCCCCAGCCTCCTCCGCGGACATGGCTCCCATCAGCTCCGGTTCCTCCACCTGGACCTCCTCCGGTCTTCCCTTCTCCTTCGTGTCAATGGCGACTGGGATCGGCCCCTCTTCCAGCGGGAGCCAGGCGACGGTGGCGTCTGTGGTGACCAGCACCCTCCTGGCGGGTTTGGGCTTCAGTGGAGGGGTCATCTCCTCCTTCCCCAGTTCAGTCTGGCCCAGCAGACCTCCTCCCTCGAGCCCTGCTCCTGCCTCCACACGCCAGACCCCTGCAGCCGCCGAACAGCCCTCCTCCCCGGCCTCAGACACAGAGAGCCCCGGGGCTGAGGACGGGGCCGAGAAGGGAGGGAAGGGCGAGGATGAGGACGGAGAAAAGAACGGAGAAGAGGAAGAGGAAGAGGAGGAGGAGAAAGGTGCCGAGAGCAGAGACAGCAGAGTTCCAGACGATGTGGAAAAGCAAAGGAACAGCTCCGTGACGAAAGACCCGCCCACAGCAACACCAGATTCCACAGCCAAAGAGAAAGGAGGAAGCAGGAAGGCGGAAAACAGCACAGCGCCATCTGGTGTCCCGGAGGACGAGGTGGAGAGAGACACACCCAGAGCAGGGGAAGAGGACACGCAGGTGCTGCCGACCAGAGAGCCAGAGAGTGATGATAATGTGACGGCAGTAATAGAGCCTCCAGACAGCATGACTCAGACCAGCAAACCCAGCAGAGGAGACCGCAACCACCTGCCGCCTTTCTCTATTCACACAGGTTAGAAACCAGCAATGTTTTTGGTGGGGGGAGGGGGGGTTGCATTCGTATCTCAACCTTTGACTCCAAGGCCCCCCATTGACCACAACAATATTCAAAGGCCCCATGACGGGTTTTTTCTATTTTATCCATTAAAATATTTGTATAGCTTGGCATAAATACAAAATTGTATATTCATAAAATATATAAAAATGGCAATTGAGAAGGGTTACTATAGTTAACTAATACTAAAACCATATATATATAGTCAAGTCAAGTCAAGTCAAATATATTTATATAGCGCTTTTCACAATACAGATTGTATCAAAGCTGCTTCACAGTATCAATCAAAACAACTTAACAGTGTTTGCTTATTACTGGAAAAAGACATCCAAGTCCCGGATATATAGTGAAATGTTATAACTTTTTTTTTAATTGTTTTCTATTTTAATACATTTAAAAACTTAATTTATTCCTGTGATGTTAAAGCAACATTTTCAGCATGATTACTCCAGTCTTCAGTGCCACGTGATCCTTCAGAAATCACTCTACACTGAACAACATTATAAACGCAACACTTTTGTTTTTGCCCCCATTTCTCATGAGCTGAACTCAAAGATATAAGACTTTTTCTATGTACACAAAAGGCCCATTTTCTCTCAAATATTGTCCACAAATCTGCCTAAATCTGTGTTAGTGAGCACTTCTCCTGAGCCGAGATCATCCGTCCCCCGCACAGGTGTGGCGTATCAGATGCGGATTACACAGCAGGATTACTGCACAGGTGTGCCTTAGGCTGCCCACAATAAAAGGCCACTCTAAAATGTGCTTTATAGGTTTATAATTTTGTTCAGTGTGTGTATATATATATATATACACTCACCGGCCACTTTATTAGGTACACCTGTCCAACTGCTCGTTAACACTTAATTTCTAAGCAGCCAATCACATGGCGGCAACTCAGTGCATTTAGGCATGTAGACATGGTCAAGACAATCTCCTGCAGTTCAAACCGAGCATCAGTATGGGGAAGAAAGGTGATTTGAGTGACTTTGAACGTGGCATGATTGTTGGTGCCAGAAGGGCTGGTCTGAGTATTTCAGAAACTGCTAATCTACTGGGATTTTCACGCACAACCATCTCTAGGGTTTACAGAGAATGGTCCGAAAAAGAAAAAACATCCAGTGAGCGGCAGTTCTGTGGGCGGAAATGCCTTGTTGGTGCCAGAGGTCAGAGGAGAATGGCCAGACTGGTTCGAGCTGATAGAAGGGCAACAGTGACTGAAATAACCACTCGTTACAACCGAGGTATGCAGCAAAGCATTTGTGAAGCCACAACACGCACAACCTTGAGGCGGATGGGCTACAACAGCAGAAGACTCCACCGGGTACCACTCATCTCCACTACAAATAGGAAAAAGAGGCTACAATTTGCAAGAGCTCACCAAAATTGAACAGTTGAAGACTGGAAAAATGTTGCCTGGTCTGATGAGTCTCGATTTCTGTTGAGACATTCAGATGTTAGAGTCAGAATTTGGCGTAAACAGAATGAGAACATGGAACCATCATGCCTTGTTACCACTGTGCAGGCTGGTGGTGGTGGTGTAATGGTGTGGGGGATGTTTTCCTGGCACACTTTAGGCCCCTTAGTGCCAATTGGGCATCGTTTAAATGCCACGGCCTACCTGAGCATTGTTTCTGACCATGTCCATCCCTTTATGGCCACCATGTACCCATCCTCTGATGGCTACTTCCACCATGTCACAAAGCTCTAATCATTTCAAATTGGTTTCTTGAACATGACAATGAGTTCACTGTACTAAAATGGCCTCCACAGTCACCAGATCTCAACCCAATAGAGCATCTTTGGGATGTGGTGGAACGGGAGATTCGCATCATGGATGTGCAGCCGACAAATCTGCGGCAACTGTGTGATGCCATCATGTCAATATGGACCAAACTCCCTGAGGAATGCTTCCAGCACCTTGTTGAATCTATGCCACGAAGAATTGAGGCAGTTCTGAAGGCAAAAGGGGGTCCAACCCGTTACTAGCATGGGGTACCTAATAAAGTGGCCGGTGAGTGTATATACTGTATATATATATGTGTACAGGGTCCGAAATTAACACCCGCCAAGCGCCAAATGCGGGTAGATTTTCCGTTTGGCGAGTAAATCTCAAAAGGCCATCCGCCACACTGGCGGGTGAATGTTCATACCAAAATAGTAATGTAATAAAATGTTTATTACAATTGCATTTTGTAATGTTATAAAATATCTGGCATGAGGGCTCGGATTTGTTGTGTTTGCCAGTAGGGATGGCGATTGAACTGCTGCGCGCACTCTTTCTCTTCGGAGCAGGCGAAAGTGTAAACAAGGCTTCACCGTCTCCTAAGCGCTGTCTTGCTCTCTCTCCCTGGCACAGATTAATCAAAATAAATCGACACGATGGTAAAAGGTCGGGAAATTTTTTCTTCTTCTGAATTACCGCTGGGTGTGAATTGTGCTAAAATACCTTATCCTCTCAGAAAAGCGTTCCGCACATTCAGCTGACATAAACCACACTTTAAATAAACGAAAAAACCTATCCAGTGATTAAATGTTTTCTGTGTTGACACAACCCTTGTGGGATGTCCCAACCGCCGGGATAATCACACAACGCGAACACATCCGATAATGACACGTCCGATTCGCGAACTAATGACTCCTTTGAACCGATTCATTTTAATGAATGGTTAAAACAACTGATATTTCCAGTCCTTCAGTTACTGATCGGATCAGTCAAGAGTAAATGGAGTAGAAAAATAGGCTAAAAAGTACTACCTTTTTTTTTTTTTTTTATAATTATAATATATTATTATTGCATATATTTTATTAAATATACAATTAATACATTTCATTTGTACAGAACTATTTTCATAGGCACCACCACAAAAATATTATTTTAATGTGTGTAAATTGTGTAATATGTGTGTAAATAAAAGTAAAAATGGAAAATAATAGACCAGAAATATAATGACAAAAATGTTTAAATATACCTATATATAAATTAATGTATATTTGACACAAAAAGTCTGTTTATTATTTTGGCCGGTAAAAAATATGCTTGGCTGGTGGATTTTTTCATCTACCAGTCCCCGTGGCAGGTGAGCCAAAAAGTTAATTTCGACCCTGTATATAGTGATGTTAGGTCTGACACCGACGCTCCGAAGCTTGCTTCAAACTCGATCGGTCCTTGCAATGAACCACTGCTTCGGAGCTTGTATCATTACGTCACTAGTCACGTGAAAATGACGTCTGAAGCAAACACACTGCTTCACTCCTGTAGTGAACCACCTGACTGCTTTGACAGCCCGATCCAGTGTTGACAGGTTTGAAACCTGGCGGCTGTATTTCTTATAAAAGTGAAGCCAAACCATGGCAACACCGTGGGTTGTAGTAGTCAGTGTTTGGATTGGCGTTATTGTTGAGGAGAGTGGATTTTATTTTTTATTATTAATTAGAGAACATATGAACATTGTTACATAAAAACATGCATCCAAGACAGAAACTTCAAAAACCCTCTGCTACATTATACAAGTAAAACCAGTTACACAAGCACCTCCTTTTCAACATACAAAAATATCAGTCCCACCAGTTAAGTTATAGAGTTCTGCTTCCTACAGCTAAACAAGATAAAGCTTTCACACATGATGCTGCCCTGCTAAAAAAAAAACTATAGAAAACATTACAGAAATTCTATTGGATTTAATGGTTTACATTATGGAATTTTATTGGTTTTCATAGGAATTTTATTGGTTGTAATGGGAATTATAGTGGTCTCTGTGGGTCTCTGATATGTGTTGGGTTATATTGGTAGGGGCATTAAATCCTAATGGAATATGTCCCAAACACACTACAAAAAAGAAATTCTTTTATTTTGTTTATTCTTTTATATTTTATTCTATTATCATTTTAATAGAAACCATTAGAATTTCTGTGATGGTTTCCAACTTTTTTTAAGCTGGTCTGATCTTCTGTCTTTGTCTAAAGAAATAATTACACACACACATTATGCTTAATGTTTTATTATCAAGGTGAACACATGAAATTCATCAGTATCTGTAAACTTCACCTACATAAATGAGTTTCACAGCACTAACACTGTTTCAGCTTTGATCGCCTCGGTAAACACGTAATAAACGGGGCTAACATAAGCCTACTGGCATTTTATGGTTGTCAGCTTTGTTGCATTACATTTACTTCACCAGGAGATGGTGCTGCAATTTCTCTCTGAATGAAGCTTCGAGTAATGAACCATTTTCGACACAATTGTATCGGAAAGCAATAATGCTTCGAAACGCTTCATTTGGCCATCACTACCTGTATGTGTTACGATGTAGGCAGGAATGAAGCAGAGAGTGAATCCAAATGCAAGCACTTTAATAAACCAACAAACAGGTAATCCAGGGTAAACTCAGAACTCGGACTACAAGCAACATTAAACAACAACCGACAGCAAACAACTGAAACACAGGGGTTTAAATACACAGACAAACAAACAAGATAACAAGGGGGGCGTGGTTAATAAGAGACACCTGGGGAGACTAATAAACCTAACGGGGAACAGCTGAACATGAAAAGACAGGGAAACACATGGCAGACAACAACAAGGAACAAAATCCCAAACCCACACCGTGACAGTATGTGTACATATAAAATTCAGGATAATTTGTTTCTGATATTCAAACAAAATCACAACAAAACTATTTAAACTTGTATTTAAAATCAAAAAGTAATTGTGTATGACTTGACTGCCCTCGTCTATGATGAGCATGTTTGTATTTTCTGAATTCAAATTTTTGGGGAAATAAATTAAAAATGTCATAGTGATACAACTTTCTGTCCTGATATTATAATTAAGGAAAAAAACATCATCAGACAAATGAAATTCTTGAAAAGAAAACCTTTAGTTGTTAGAAATAATATTTATTTCCAAGAAGAAGAAAATAAATGTTTTACTGCTTATAAATATTTGAAAAACT